CATCGTCAACTTCCCTACTGCAGTCTACATTGACATTCATAAGTCAACTTTGGCGGTGCACAAGGGCCTGTATAACAATGAAATAGCACCCTTTGCAGTTTATGTACACACATGCTCTTTGAGGAGGGCAAACTATGGGCACCAGTCCCACCAATGGTCCCAGCACAGTTTGAAAACCCCATTCTCTCAAAGCCAGCAATTACCCCAGGAATATCTTTTATGGCTGCCACTTTGGGTAAAGTGGAAGTGGAGGTTTGAGACAGTCAGGTATGTGGTTTACCCCCAGTCAACTCTCCAACAACAAACTGGTTTGCAACAGACCTATAGCAGTCTGGCATAGCCAGTTTCCAGGGTTGCTATAGCACCACACTTCTGGAGCGGCAAGGGTACCCTCCTTGGTGTATCTCTATTATTGGTGGATTCGGGCAAGCTGCTTACAAAGCTCTACAAATATATCTTCCTTAATGCAAAAGTTCTGGACCCACTGCTGGTCATGCATGATTATGTGAGATCACCAGTCTGTGCTTGTGGGCCCTGCTCCAGAAGCACAGTGTATGAAGGGGGCATCAGCGGCTGTACCAAGTGTAATGCACAGCATCAACCCATTCAAGTCAGTCATGCCTGGGTACGCCTCATTCTCTCCTCCTCCATAAGCTGTGTCAGGTACCTTTGGTGGGTCAGAAAATGCCATCGAAACATCTACCAGCATCACACAGAAGCTCTTCCTGTTTCCTGACACAGGAGTGACAGAGCAAACCAAGAGAACTTCTTGAAAAGGTGTCTCCTCCATGTTGCTGGCAAGCTGTGTGGGCCAGTTGTTCAAGCTTCCTGAAATGTGCAGGGTGGGCAGTCAAGTTTTCCCTCACAGTGCACTACAGACAGAGGGCCTGAGCAGCCAAATTCCAGGTGGCCACTAGGGAGTCTGGGATATGGGTTGGTTTGACTCAGGTCTTCAAGCTGCACTGTGGATACCAGAGCCCCATGTTCAAGCCCAGGTTAGAAAAATCTTAACCTAGGGTTAAAAATCAGTGCAGATGCTCAAGCTCTGGGTTTTCTAACCCAGGGCCAGCTAACTCAAGTCCCACTAACCCTGGGTTTACATTGCAGTGTAGCAATACCCTTAATTTCTTGGTCAACTCAACAGGACCACCATTTACAGAAAGGGTAAGACATACTATTCAACATTTTAAAAGCACCCAGTTTTCTGAGATAGCCATGTAGGCAAAAAAGTAGATTTGTATTTATGAGGTAAAATGGGGTTTCCCCCTACCCCTTCGAAAACACAGCATGCACATCAAGGTCACAGAACTCCTATAATCCAACAGTGATACTTTGACTTTATTTTGATGGTGGTAGTGGCGGTGGTGAAGAATGGCTAGACGTATCTAAATTGGAACAGGTAGAGCCCACCTGAGGCAATCTCAAGTGATTAATTTGGCTCCCATAAAATTCTAGTTTAGTTCTCATGAAGAAAATCTGAGTGAGAGGAGAAACTAAAACACACGGGGAGGAAAGTCAAGAAGTTCATATATTCATACCTTCACTATGTTTTGTGGGAATCTTTCAGGAAAGATGAGACCCTCCCATACCACTTCTTGCTTTCCCCTAAAAAGTCAAATATAGCTAAGCCCCTTTGCTCTCTGTTTAAAACAATTTTTACTGAAAAAATCCTGTTTTACAAGTATTATTCAGTTTCCCCCGATTTTCCCCCTACTTTTATATTAAACATAAAAATAACTTGTTTTATTAGGAAAATACAATACATTGCATGAGATATGTATTACGATAATACATTAGTCTGTGTGTATATGCAAAACTGCCTGTTGAAGTAATGCTACATATTAGCCTAGAAGTTACACACAAACAGGCACACATGCAAGCTCTGAAGTACATCTGAACGTACTGATGAATCTCATACCCACCATGTACACATTTTAAGGTGTTAGCAGATAATAGTTTAAAGATCTGACCCTACAATGGGAAGAAAATGAAAATCTGTATCAGAAAACGTTTCAAAACACAAGGAAGTATTCAAAAGTTTTTTTTTTTTTTTTTAAACAAAAGCAGGAGAAAAGGATGAAGTTGAGTGTATGCACTGCAAATTGTGTGGCCCAATTATTAAATAGAACTATTAGCCTATAAATATTTACACGTCTACAACTGTAAACTGTTTATTCAAATGAGAAGTTTTGTTGGGGGGGGATTAGAGGTGTACTGTTTTCTTAAACTTAGAGGTGGCATTGTGTTTTGAGTTCTGTTTTAGTTCTGCAGCAAACTACATTGAATTCCATTCATCAAAGCATTAATCTACCAAATACTTTTTCCCCGTCCTTCTGTCCACCAAAATAAACCCCAATATTTACCCAGAAAAAAATCGTTAATTTTTTCCCCCACTATTTTCACCTGTTTTTGTTGTAGTAATAAACACCAATAAATTCTTGGGAAAGAAATTAAATTAAAATAAAATCTGAAAACAAAGGACCCTAACTATAGCAAAATACAATATATGATATAGGTAAATTCAGTACCACATACCATCACCCTGACAAAACTGTCCATCACAATACCAACAGCAAGCCTAACAACCGTTACTTTAGCATCTTCATCCTCTGCCTCAGACATAATGTTCTAATTTAAAATTCATGGTTAAGGGTATAGGAAATTACTCGTATGCTTTTCTACTATTAACTTGCAAATGCACTCTTGCCTCTTGAAGCACTGCTACAGCATCAGACGGGCTATTCAAAGGCAGGCCCAAAAATTAAAGTCTACTACCAGTTTGCTATTGAGAAAGAGGTAAGTGAAAGTGATGGTTAAGAGGATATGAAGCTACTCCAGGTCATCAAGCATTTCTTTTAACAAGAAACTCCTGTTGAGAGACCTTGTTTTGTTCCTACCATAAAATATAGATCTTGAATATTAAATATGGACCTTGTATGAAGCATGCACATGACCCTACCCTGCTTTTCTGTAACAGCAGGGCTTAATGGCACTTCAAGAATCAGGCTACAGCTGCAGTGGAGGTATGAGCAAGGGTATTGCCACTAGAAAGCTGGCCAGGTCTGCTGCAAAACCTGAGGATGTTCTCATGCCAAACATGAAGTATTGCAGTTTTGTAGATTTAGACTAAGGGGCAGAACTAAGCTAACCCACTCCAGCAAACCCCAATTAAAAAAAAAAAGTGTGCTATGGCCTAGTAGCAGACTTCATATCCATTCAAAATTAGAAGGCAGACAGGAGTAAAGGGAATTTTTGCCCCAGAACTCATGGGCATTCAGTTCTATCAGTTCTGCACCAAATTATGGCCCAAGCACATGTGTGGAAAGTGGACTAAGGAAATTACAAGGAGCTCAAATCCACTCTGGCTGGAATTGGACAACAGGGGTTGGACCATTTCTTCTGATGCATCTGGCATTGGCCACTGCTGGAAGACAGGATATGGGCTAGATGAATCATTGGTCTCAACCACTGTGGGCATTCTTATGTACCTTTGACTCACTCTGTGAGCCCTACTTTATGTTACTAACATGAAAGGAAGTGATGACAAAGTGTTCAGAAACAAAGTGGTTAATTCTCATGAGATCATTGAATGCCTGGCCTCTGCAAGATCAGATATCTACATGAGCAAACAGATACAAACCAAGATGCATCATGGGTTCCACTAAGCTTTCTTGTTGAACATCCTTCCATATTTGTTTACATCAGAACTTAAGAAAAAAGCAAGACCACTTTTACTATTAGTTTAAGTCAGGAAAAAAATAAAGCAGTATATCATCCCAGCAGTCATACAGTATACAGAAAACAAAAATCAGCCATGAAGAGGGAAAAAAAGAAAGGTGGTGGGGAGAAGAAAAATGCAGGACTAATTTTCTGTACATGCTACATCACCTGTAACTCCACGACAAGAGAGACACAGTTACTACAGACACTCTTTGAAAGTTTATGGGACAAGTTTACCTCAACATTTCAGTTGAGTGCAAAACAACGTGGTTCACATGTGTAACTGCTCAATTTATATAGGGTGATGAACAATCAGGATATACAGTCCACTCTTATTCCAAACGCGCAACTCTAAATTCACCCCAGCAGCCAGCTATGCCTCTCACACCATGCATATGGTCCCATGACTCTTAGGATCAGCACAGCAGCAATTTTCAGAAAAAAGGAAGACCCCCACTACGGATTTAACTCTTTCCTTGCAGAACACTTCATTATACTCTTGCTGAAGTGACACCATCAAGACGTTTGAGGCTTGAAATGTAGATTTTTATTAGAAAAGGAGAGTCATATTAAAACAATGACAAAGTACTTGTATTATTGATAGGCTTAGAGTTTACAACCACTTTCCCACTTTTTTCCCCCCTTCTCCTCTTTGCTTTGGATTGGAGACTACATTCACCTTGCCCTGCATTATTTCCACAACACCCACTTCTACCGGTCAATAGGTGTGCAGAGAAAGTTACGGATATAGATTCTAAGATTTTTTTAGGTTTCCAAAATAAAAATCTTTTTTAATTATAAAAAAGAAGAATGAAGTACATGCATTTCCATATGCACTGTTCTAAATTACTTTGGACAAGAACGGGTGCAGTTAAAACTGAATAACACAGTATGGCTCAAGACATCAGTAATCAAACACACACAGGAGCAACAGTGATTGACTCAGGTTAGAGGGAGCAGAGCAGCATCTGTCCAGAGGTTATTAGACCTTCATCTGAACTACTGATGCTCTTCCACCCTCATTGGAGTGAGCACCGATCAGTTATTTTCTGCGTACTTCCAGCTGAGAAGCCCTCACACGTCTCCTTATCTATGAATGCCCAACTGAAACATTAATCAAACATCACTCCCAAGAAGAATTTGTCAACTGTCAATGTATAAGGGTAGAACACTGAACTAGAGTAGACTAGGACCAGATTCATAGTTAAAACTGTATTTGAGTCTGGTGCTTCAGGAGTTAACAGCTGCAGCACTAACCCACTGTAATTCACATTACCTACCTTCCAGACTGGGTGATGGAAAAGCCAGCAGCAGCAGCACGGAAAGAATCATAACTCCATCTATCATTGTAGATCTGGAGAAAGAGCAAAAGGGAAAATAAGTGTACTTTAATTGCTAAACAGTTGGATTTTCTTCTAGTAGGCTTTATTAAAAAAAAAACAAAAAAACCAACACCCCCACAACCGGACACACACACACACACACACATTCCTACAAATTGCACAGCAATACTTACATGGGGAGGGAGAAGGGGAGTCACAGAAATAGCATTGATATTGTACTGCAGGTACACAACAACTCAAGGACCAGGCTACTGGGTATAAAGCCTGTTCCAATACTGTTTTAGCTAAGCAGATTCAAACTCTTGAAAGCAAACCTTGTCTGGCACACACTTGAATTTCTAGGCTTTCAAACCAAACCAGTAAGATTTAAAAGAAAAAAAATTACTGTGAACTTAATACACACTGTACAAATGTTTTTAAGTTGAAGATCTGTCAGAAAAGGGGCACTGCCTGCCAATGCAGAAGCCATAGAACACTGGTGGACAAGTCCCACTATTTGATTTTCCTTAAAACAGAGGAAGTTGCTAGAAGGGAAGAGGGCACTCCATAGTTGAGCAACTATTCTTAGTAATTAAATTTCCAGTTGTATTCTGCATTATTTGCGAAGGGTTCCATTCCAGTGACCCCAACACTATTCCTCTGCTACTAAACATTAAAACAATTGCATCTAGTGAAAGAACTAAGGGGTATTTCCAGCATATGCATAGTTTCTAGATACAAGTGAATTCATTAGATTTCCTGTATTTCATTAGTTTTTCCCCACACAAATTGCTGGTTTCTCTCCTCACACACATGAAAATAAGATCAGACTGTCACTGCAAAGAAATATATTAACAGGTTTCTGAGAAAAAAACCCTATTCCATAGCAATCGTTTGTGTTTTCCATCAAAATGGTCTCCTTTCTTTCCAATGCTAAATCTCTGGCATTAACAAACTTCATACACTTCTAATAAAAAATGGAGGCAATAGCTTGTTTAAGACAAGTTATTCTATTCAAGGGAGAGAATGATTAGGACTATCCTAATGGAAGTGTGTTATAGTCCCTATTTAGTTTCTTGGAAGTGATTTCTGTTTGAGTGGATCAAATTTGGAAGACTTAGTACCTTCATTTCTCTCTCTCACACACACATGAAAAACTTGCCTTTCTTAACCCAGGCTACTAGTGACTTAATACAGAAATAAAGCGGGGTATGGTATGGGGACGCTTTACCTGGCAGAAAGCTGACTCAAAAGACAGCCAACCAATCTTAAAAAATTCAGTACTTTTAAATAGCTGGAAGGGACTTTTGACATAAAGAAGTTTGTGCAGATTGATGGATGTGACTAGAACACTCTTCCCCCACCATTCCATCACTGGGTCTTATTTGAACTGACATCTTAAGCAAGTCTTCTCTTGATGACCATACCCAGAAACATTTCTGCACACCTGGACAAAGGTGGTACAGTACACATGTCTCTTTCAGGAGACCAAAGGTTCAAATGCACAGACCGAAAAAAATTGATTCTAGTGATGCTACTCCACCACATGGAGTTGGTTAAGCCAGCAACCCTGAAGCAAACTATTAGAACAGGGTTGGGAGTTACCCTGCAACTGAAGAGAGTGAACTCAAATTCGCAACACTCAGCCTCTTTTAGAAGTGGAGTAGGACATGTACTGACCCACATCCTGAAAAGGCTGTCAGACAGTCATGGGAATAGAGGAAGAGAGTAAAGCAGACAAACACTGAAGGAGAAAATTAAATGGGAAATCAACAAAATGAGGAAAAAGGGAACACTGAGGAAAGAGTGGGTTAAGACATTAGAAATAAGAGCATGAAAGGCATTTTGCAGACCAGCAAAAGAGATACTGAAGAAACATTAAGATACAAAAAGAAAAGGGGACAATGGGAAGACAGCAAGTTATTTTATCCCCCCACATACACCTCTTCAAAAACACGCACTTATGACTTAATAGTTTGGCAGTTTCTTGAGAAACAGAACTTTTCCAGTTTTTGTTCCTCTCTTTGGTAAGAGTTGGCCGGGATGATGTTAAGAGCTTAGTAGTAGGTCAATATGGGTCCTCATTCACTATTGTATGCAGCCAAACATTTCATTTTGAAGCATAAACACAGAAGGACAATAAATGTTCAGGAAACATGAATGACAGTTTCTTCCCTAATGGTGAATGGATAAACTTTGAAAAGTTCATCTGATTATTTTTCATCCCCAGACCATCATGCTGTTTAGAGAGTCATTTTCAGATGAGCCCAAAAAAGGAGGCCAGAAGAACCAGTTGATCTAATAATATAGCAACTGTCAATAATGTATCTCAAAGCACTTTAAAAAAAGGAGGTAAGTATCAATTTTGCCATTTTACACATGGAAACAAACATTGAGAAGTGAAGTGACTTGCTCAAGTTCACCCAGAAGGCCAGTGTTAGAGCCAGGAACAGAACCCAGGTCACCATTCACTAGATCTCACCGCTTTCCAACAGCACTCAGATTCAAAGTATTCTAGACACAACTTAAGTATTTCTTAACATTTAAAAAAAACAAACAAACAAACAAATAAAAAAAGCCTGCTGACTGACCAACATTCAGAAATCTGTTTGAGGGCATCTATTTATATAAACCTCTTTGGACATGCTTATTTAAAAACAGGCCTTTTCTATTATAAATCTGAACAAAAAGGTCAGTCACAACATTCTAATCTGCATTTTATAATGTGGCTATCTCATGGGGAAAGCAGATACGAATAACCCTAGGCTCCGCTTCTTTGCAACAATTCCCATGGCATTCCTTCTCCTGAAAGCCTCAAAGCATATTTTGCCTATATGTCCTGTGAAGTGCTGTGTACACTAATGGTATTCTTAAAAAAAAAAAAAAAAAAACCACCACACAACACCCTGTGTATTTGACAATTATATTTTATGCCGTGTTTATGCAGACTAGGTACAGCCCTTGAGCTTCTGGCAAGTTACCACTGTGGCCCTCAATGCTTCACAACTGAGTTACTCCACAACAACTGACTGGATTGCCGGCTATCATTGTAAGGCAGAGGGCAGAGAGCTAGAATGTGAGCCTCAAACCTTAATGAAATCCTGATTTTCCTTTGAAAGATGTAGAGAGAGGAAGGGGGGGGGGGGGGAGAAGGACTTTGAGAAGCAACCCATCAACACGGCTACAAAAAAATCTCATCAAAAGCCTTAGCAAAAAATTTGTTCTCTATAAAGATCTGTCTCTGCTCCAATAAGAACAAAAAACAACACATTCCAAATAATAAAATTAGACTCCAGTAAGCAAGAGAACCAGAGATCTGTTCTCTCATTGTATGTGGTTATCCGGCTCCAGCCAACATACTGTGTTTATACAGTTGAAAGCCTGCCAAAAACTTTGGAAGAGATGTCAAGATCCCTTGCTGGTTGCCATTTTGCTCAGAGAATGAAGTATCTGCTGTTAGTTTATTTTTAACTAGCTGAATTAACAGGCTAAGAAAGAAACTCATTTATAAATCTGCTCCACAATCAGATGCCAACAATAAAAACAACAAAGGAGGTTCCACAGATTACCTCTTACCTCGACAGAAATGTATCCATCAAAAACAGACCGTTCACAGTGATTAGGATATAAAGGTTTATAAAAGAAATACAACCCTCTGCGCTTTGGTATCTGCTGGCTGAGCAGTCTTCTGATGTGTCGGCTGGAAAAGTAGGGAGTAAGGGAGAGGGGGAAAGAAGTGGCAGCAGTCCAAGATGTGTAGCTTCAGAGCAGCTCAGTGCTGTTTTCTGTTCAAATGATCTGTCACTTGAGACTTATCCTCCGATAAGCACCTCAGCCACACAATCCCATCTCCAGCTAGCTGACTGACTTCTCAGCTTTGATTTTCCAGCGACATCCTTGCCACTCTTGAAGTTTTAGATTAAACATTTCCTGCTGCAGAGATAAACCTGACAAAGGAACTACTGTTCCTGAGTCTGAAAGTGTAGAGAACTGAAGGAAGACAGCTGCGACTGCTCACCTGCAGGAATCAGACATATTTGTGGTTGTTGTTTTTTTTAAATGCAGTTACAACCAATAAACTGCACCTTTTATCAATAAACATCAAAGATGACTCCCATGACAGTGCTCCAACAGGATTACATGTAAGCCAGTGCTCTATTGTCTTGGTATTTGTTAGGTTACACTGAGAAGTCGTCTGTTTCAGAGATAAAATGTGCTATTTATTATGTATTTTGATGTGCTGAATTCAAATATGACAATTAAAAGAACTGATTGGCTACCGTTTCTAAGATATTTAAGTTTTTACAATTTATGTCTATGTATATTGTGTAGATAGAGTTTTAATCATAAATTGTAAACCTAGGTCTTTTCATGTGTTCATGGTTGCTTTACATGATAATATTTCACCTCTCCTGTTTATGTAACACTTTAAAAATCAGCAAAAGGGTTATATAAATAATTTATTATGAAACAAAAAGGCAAAAACTATTATGTACATAGTTTAGTCCTATTCAGTGTCTACT